ATTCGTACAGAAAAGATATTAATTGCATTACGTCATCACTTTCAGGTGCTATTACGTCATAACTGAGTCGCCATTTTGTATGACGTCATGACCGAATCGTTTTCATTCGCCAATGACGTCATGACTGGGGTGAACGCCTTACGTCAGACGGTCTTATCATAATAAACAAACATATGTGGGTCAACGTCGATTTTCATGTATCACGAACGCCACGTGCGCCAGAGACCGAACCTCGATAGTTGTTCGATAGTTACTATAAATTTGCGGCCGTATCCATTAAATATCGAGGAAAATGAATATGGGAACCGCATGTCACACGACCTAAATAAAATATTGCCACGATGTTGTGGCCATATCGCATGTTTACTGGGTAATTTTAAGTGATCGTTTAATTTTATTCTTTTTATAGTTTCAATCCTTCAAAGTTCCCGAAGAAGAATGCATTTCATACCACCGAAACGTAAAAATAACAAATTTTTTATTTAATGGTCTTTAGTTCAGTCGAATAAAATTATTAATAATATGTATTAAATGATATTATAAATTTAGATATTTAGATAAATTTGTTCAAAACGACATTTTGCAATCACATTATAGCCAATTAAATTAATTTATCTACTCAAGATATCTATTTAGATTGTATAAATACCAATTATGCCATATTCAAAGCAATAATGTACACATTTACTTCCAATTTATAAATTGATTGACTGTTTGCTTCATTAGCGTCTTCATACACGCCTTCCTTTAGTAAATATTGATGTGCTTATTCATACCGATATATCGCCTATTTATTATTTCAGAATTTATTGACCAAAATCACTACTATCATTCTAATTGCTATATTTTTACTAACTTTACGTTTACTTCGTATAAAATGTCAATATTAATAATTTTATTTTTATTTTTTTACAACTGTAAATGTAACATCAACCAGTATGCGACGGAACCAGACGTGTTGTACGTTTGTTTTCAAAATGCTATTTCGACTCAAAAATTTAATCAATTTCCTTATATTACACATGTGATCAATGAAAATGAATCACCTGAAATTCAACATTCAATAGCAACGTCTTTAAGCCAGGTAGGTTTGCCTGTAAAAATTTTAAAAGACACTACACATGCGGTGTATTACAAGTCTTCGAAATCATTTATGTACGTTATTTATATAAAAAATGAATTGGAATTTCAAGAAAAGCTGTATAAAATTAAGAATTCCGTATCTTGGAATCCAAGTGCTAAATTCTGGATTCTAGTACCAAAATTCAGTGAAGATTTTATCAAATTTGTACTAAAGCAACTGTGGACAAATAACGCCGTCAACGTTGTAATAATATTCAAAACCAAAGCTGGAGTCAATATCATAACATGGTTTCCGTACGATAGAGATTTTTGTGGCAATTTTGTTGGAAAATTATATGTAATCAATAAATGTAACTCCCATGGACAATTGATCCATAAAAAAGAAATATTTCCTAATAAAGTGCCGAAGAATTTGAACGCTTGTCCAGTTAAAACATTATATTTGAGATGGCTTCCAGCAGTGATCGACCCGATGTCAAAAAGTTATCCTGGATATGAGGTGGAAATTATGAAAATTTTAGCACAAGTTGCTAATATTACTTTGGTTTATATGCCTCTCAATATTACGAAATTAGGACAACGAAATTATAGAGGAAACTGGACCGAAATATTGGGAACTTTACAGGTAAATGGACAGAAGGGTGAAACAAAATTTTGTTTATTATTCGTTTCTTAAAAGTAAAATCTATTTTTTTTTTAATGCATAATTTCAATGTAAATATGTCTTATGTATCCTTTTACCAATATGTTGGTGTAACTACTTATCATAAATATTGCTATAAGAATTTATTGCAGAACAAAACTGGAGATTTTTTATATGGTAGCATCGAAAATACAGTGAACAAACATTTGGATTTTGACCTTAGCAAAGTGTATGCCTTCAACAGCATCATGTGGATCGTTCCAAGTTCTACAAGAAAGAACTCCAAACACATATTTCGAATTGTAATTAATGAAGTGGTGTGGATTCTTGTGATTTTATCGATCACTTTATTAGGAATAATATTCTGGTTATTGTCAGTTTTGCATTTTGAAAAACACGAATACTCCAGACTTTATATGATGGCTACCAATGTATTTCGACTGTTCACTTGTAAGTAAAAAATATTGTACTCGTAAATCATCAATTTCTAACTTAAATATTTAATTGTTTTCAGGCGAATCAATGCCACATGGTCCAAAAAATTCAACAGTTCGTTGTTTCTATATATTTTGTTTCTTCATCGCCTTATTATTGACAACGCACTACAACGCCTTGTTATATGGTTACCTTGCCTATCCAATTTACGGAAATCAAATAAATGATTTGAGACAACTATTAAAATCGGATATAAATATACTACTCCATCCCAAATACCAAGACGTATTTACTGTAAATTCATCTAGACATTCCAATAAAGAAGTTCTGGACAAATTTGAAAAATGTGCTCCAGTTGAAGATTGTATAAGAAAAGTATCCAAAGGAAAATATGCAACAGTAGCAGATAGCTTTATTTTCGATTATCATTCATCAAAATATCCAATGGTGAATGAAAGATCAATTTTTCACCTCTTTCCGATACGACAATATTTTATAAGTGCTGTTGCAAGAAAAGGATTTCCTTTGATGTCAAGACTGGATAGTATCATAGGCAGAATGCAAGATTTTGGATTCATAGAATTGATTTCAAGACAGTTTCAAGTTTGGGTCGATTTGAAATATTTAAAGGAAGAGAAAGAGATAACACATTTTTTAAGAATTGGAATGGAACATATAATAGCTCCTATATATGTGTGCTTAGGACTTATATTCCTGGCATCTGTTGTTTTCGTGTTGGAGATAGTTTGGTATACATATTTTAATACATAAATTTAATTAATTAATATAATAAGATAAATTTTAATTTATTATCATACCTGTATTATGCTCCGAAGTGTTAAAGTTGTCACATTTTCATTGATTTGAACATCGGAAACTACTGCCCTCGGTTCACCATTTGGATTTTCTTTGGACATCACAAAATATCTTTTATCAGCTCTATTCAAGGGCAAAATTAACTCACTTTTTTGATGGTCTAGCTAAATAATTGAATTAATTATACACTAAATACTACAAATTTTCAATTTTAATTTTATACTCACTATGACCGTTAATTTCTTTTCTGAATGTATATGAGGAAATGGTGTATCATGTGTCGATACAGGAGATTGTATTTTAGATACTTCTCGTAATTGTAAATAAGTTTGCGCTCCGTTCCCAAGAACAATTTCTTGGTAGTCTACACTTCCACATGCCTTAAATGGACTAAGACTCAGTAATAAGGTCACATCAAATCCTGAAAGATTCAACTGATTATGCAAAAATAAATAATATAACCCATATTAATACTTTACCTAAATCATTTCTGATTAAATACGGAAAATTAACATTGCTGGCTGGTTCTACTTCGATGCTTTCTCCTGTAGACTCAACAAAGCCATATGATTTTTGCAAGGTTGTCAAGACCTATTGAAAGGCATTTAGAATTATAATTACATAAGCTTTTATTTAAAAATTTATTTACAACTAGACAAAATCAAATTAGAATTATATTTTGCTTACTAATATAAAAAATATTTATTTATTGTATTTAAACTTCTTTGATAATTGAATAAATAATTGGATGTGAATGACTTTGAAAATGTATGGAACTATCCTGAATTAATGGTACAAAATTAGCATCCCAAACAAATGTTATGTAATAATATTATTATACTTAAATTATTAGTATTCTTTTTCAATACTAGAAACCATAGAGCATTTATCAATTTTTTATAAACTTACTTCCAAACATGTTTTCGATAAGGTCAGTTCAAGATTATTTTGCGACATTATTGTGATTTTTCGAGTCATGATCGGTTCGAATTTATCCACAACCAATTTGTTCTCAAGCTAGTAAAAAATTAAACATGACTGATAATAAATAATAAATATTAATAATATAATAAACTGATGATTACGTCTAATTTTAATTGCCAGGGTGTGTAAACTGTCAATCCATCGATCACTTCTTCCATGGGTTCTATAATTGCTTCCCATAAACCGTGTTTGGTATTTTGGTAAGCCATTTTTATCCACATATCGCTAAAAACATACATCTGGAATAAAATAATGCGATCAATTAGTAGTAATAATATAGATCATTGAATATTTCTCACATATAAGTTACCTGCGAATTCCAGTCGTGCAACGCCGCTTCGTACTTTATTTCTATAAATAATAATTGCATAGTTTTTCCCTGGGTGCCACCTTCCAAATAAACCTGAATCGATGGGACAAATAATGCGCATTTTTCTGATACGTTCTTAGAAGGTGTCGTTTGTGCAACAACTAAATTTAGTTCTTCATATGCTTTCTTCACTATAATGTCATCCTCTTCATCAGACAACAAGCTAATATCTGGACAAATAATAATATTTAAAAAGAAAAAAACGTATTATGCATATCAATTCTTGTGAGATATTTTATTCGTTTTATTCTGAAGGAATGTAATATTTTTCAAGCATAACTCGAGATACAAAGCTTTGAGCGAGTAAGAGTTTTCTAGAAAAATGTTAAGACAAAATGAAAATATAAAAAGATTCGTCTGTTGTAACAATGACTTTCCTGCCATAGAAATATTTTGGGCGTTTTCAAGGGAGTTGCTGAACAAAATAATAAAAAGTAAACTTATTTTTAATATTCAAAAAAACTTAACAAAAACAACAGTGCTTTGAGATACCATAGATTCCGCTTCCGGGAAATCGCACTTAAATTACCTTCTTCTTGTTGTAAAAACCAATATTCATAATCAGAAAATTCGCATGGCAGCCACATATTAGAAAAATCACGTTCTTCTTCCGGCTTTTCTGTAACACCTTCTTGATTCATAGTGTCCATGATCTTTTTAACTAATTGAGTGACATCTAATCAAAACACAAATCACATTATCTTAGAAAATAGACGCGACATTTATGAAACATTTTGTATTTACTTGGGGATAAAAAGACTTGTATTTCAGTAACACATATATCGATATGCATGCCATGTAAAGTCGGACTAGAACCAGTAAAATTCAGTGAACATGGTTTCAATATTGGTACCATAGTTTCCTTCCTTCGGTTCTCATCAAAAATACAAGTGTAAATGTGCAAATCTTTCAAGGAACCCGTTACTACAGTACGTTCCAAAACATTCCTATAACGCAAAAGTAGCTCTGTCTAAAATATAATTGAAACTAATTAATTGATTTGGTTTTAGATTGAAATTTGGTTTTACTTGATCAAATATAATAACATAATTTGACTAATGATCTAGTTATAGCTTCAAGGGCAATGCTGCCTATTACTTCTGTCCATCTGCTGACTTACATTTAATATAATGCAATTGCAATCAATATCATCCATAGCTTCCACCAGAATAATATCAGGCTGTTCAAGTCGCAAATCGACTGTGAAAGAAAATTTTTTATCGTCGATTTTTACAGTACTTTTATGATCAATTGCCATGTTTAGTTTAGTCGATGATTTGCGATCAACGGATTCCTTGCTGAATGTTGACTTCGTAGAGACCTGCCCTGAGGGCGTTTTGAAAAAATCACTCACCGTGGTCAGATAGTCCATGCTTATTATGAAATTCAAACTGAAAACCCTTATAGCAACTGAAAGAATAAAAGTTATAAATATAATATTAATTCTATTATTATCTTAGTATTTTTTTTATTTGTAAATTCATCTACTAACTCTTACCAAATTGATTATGGAGTGTCGCGGTGTATGATAAATCCAACATACTTTTTAATGGTTTATATGCACTATAATTTGTATATGATGATATGGGTTTTGTGGATCTTTGTAAATATCTAAAAACGAATCAAAGTTCACATTTAGTTCAGGTAAATCCTATTTGTTATTATTTAAAAGTATGTACCTAGAAATTTTATTTACTCTGTAGCTTCTTGTATCATCAAATGTACAATCACAAAGTAGAACGTCAATGGCCATTGATTTGTCACTGAATTGTCTTCCTTTTGCAGATAAAACTAGCAAACTGAAGCGAGCTAAACCTTTTCTTGGCAATTTTACACTTTTGGCAGTATTCTATAAGTAAATTATCAAAATATAGTATATGTAGTATCGGAAGCAACTATCGTTCTAATGAATTTGGAAATCTAAAAATTTATTTATTATCATCTTACAAATTGAGTGCCTCCAGTGAATAAATCAATGGTCATCACATCCAAAGTAAATTGAAAACGATACACAATCTTCAAGCTTGCTTCAGAAGATTCAGAATCGCTAGAATCTTCTTCAATGTTTGTTGTTTGATGATGTATTAAATCTAAAGATTTTCTTGAAAGTTTCCACTCCGATTCTCGATATGTCGTTGCTGCAAATAAAAAAAAACTGATAATATTTGAATTATTATAAACTTATTATGAATACTATTTGACATAATTATATTTGCAACAATGCTCAAAAAGGCTATTTTCATTTGAAATCATATTTGAGATCTACAGTCACTACAGTTTGATATCAAGCTTGCTGAGGTGAGTAACAAACCTGGAAACAGTGTTTGCTAGACCAAATTCTTACCAGAGCCAACTTTTTAGACTGCTAGTGATGATGGTTAAATTAATTTAATCGAAATGTAATATAAGCATATATGTACAAGAAAGTATGTGACATTTAAGTATATACTTACATATATTTATGTATATACTTACATATATATATATATATATATATATATATATAATTAATTAAACAAATTTATATTTACAATCTGCTGTAATATGAGTAGAACCTCTCACTGGTAGTTTTCCTTCAGTGAAATTTTGCGCCATTACGCTCATGGCCATTGCATAATCTGATTTACTAAGCAGAATCTAAATTGAAACAACAAATGAACAAATAAACTATACAAATACATATATATATATATATATATATATATATATATACATATATATATACATATATATATATACATATATATATATATATATATATATATATATATATATATATACCTGAATACTTTTAACTTTTCCAGTTATATCAAGTTGTGGTACATTAGTATACCAAACATAAGACAGATTTCTTTTGATTAACATGGAGAATGATGTAGGTCTTAATAATGTTTGTTCCCTTTCAACAAAATGAGACTTTGACAAACTCGCTCTCGACATTTGCAAATCTTCTAATTGCAGGGATAACTCTTCTATCACTATTCGAATTTCATCCATATCCTGAAATTTAATATTATTATTCATATTAGCATTACAATTGAAAAAATGTTTCAATACTTACAAACGCTCTTATGTTATCAAATTTATTCATGATGGTAATATAGCCAAAATCAAATATGAACACATGTAAGCTTTGGGAATTTATTGGAAGAACCAATATAGGTGCTTTGATGTGAAGATTTAATTGGACTCTTGTGATATTTTTCATGTTTATTTGTTCTATAACCGCATCGGCCGCTTCTGTCGCTGTATCTACTATTACTTTATGGGCGTATTCAAAATTTTTTATAAAATCCTGAAATTGAATAAAAACCTATATTATAGGTATGATATAGGACAAGCTTAATTTATAATCTTCTAAGGAAATCGAAGAAAATATCTTATATTACGACAAACAAGTAGTACAAAAAGTGTACAAAATATGGAAAAAAGTATTCTTGTTAGCAGTCAATAAGCCAAAAATAATTAATAAAATGAATTACTTTTGTACGACTCAACTCAATAGTGGTTCAAGTATAGATGCATGTCATCATTTAGCAGTTCTAAAAATAATAATTACAAAACAACCCAGTAAACATGCGATATGGCCACAACATCGTGGCAATATTTTATTTAGGTCGTGTGACATGCGGTTCCCATATTCATTGTCCTCGATATTTAATGGATACGGCCGCAAATTTATGTAACTATCGAACAACTATCGAGGTTCGGTCTCTGGCGCACGTGGCGTTCGTGATACATGAAAATCGACGTTGACCCACATATGTTTGTTTATTATGATAAGACCGTCTGACGTAAGGCGTTCACCCCAGTCATGACGTCATTGGCGAATGAAAACGATTCGGTCATGACGTCATACAAAATGGCGACTCATGACGTAATAGCACCTGAAAGTGATGACGTAATGCAATTAATATTCTTTTCTGTACGAATAAGCATTTATTTACGTGAATAATAAGAAATTTTACAATATTTAAATATTACAAATTAGAATTGTAGTTTTGAAATTATAAAATTTTAACATGAACTATACTAGAAAACTTTTTACAAATTATTCAATCTTAACATATTAATAACAGTATATTTAATGAAAATTGTTGTATATCTAATGAACGTAATTCTATTTTTGGGGCGTGAAGTGTGAAGTGTTGCATAAGTATTCTATCGCCACTTCCTTATACATCAAACAGCCTGCCTATTTTTCATTATTTCATTCTATCGCCAGTTCATTGCATCAAATGCCAGGATACAGATTATGCACATATGACATACTGCCCCAAATTTTGGAAGTTTTCTAAAACAAATTCAAACATAATGTGATTTACTGTATATAATATAATATATATATACAGCTACCATATGTGTAGCTACCTACATGTTCAGTGTACAAATCTCCATCATCTTAAAGTCGCTTTTACACATACATTTTTAACACTGACTGATTTCATTCTATCGCCAGTTCATTACATCAAATGCGAGGATACAGGATATTCATATATGATGTACTTCTTGGAAGTTTTCTAAAACAATTTGAAACATAATGTGTTTTATTGAATCTAATAATATATATACCACTCCATATGTGTAGCAACTTACATATTCAGGAGACAAATCTAAATCGTCTTCGAGTCGCTTTTGCACATACATTTTTTTTAACCTGATTGAATTCATTATATCTTCAGTTCATTATACATCAATACATCAATCAAGTTCATGCATATATGACATACTGTTCCCAATTTTAGAGGTTTTCTAAAACAATTATAAATATAATGTATTTGTTACCAAATAATATATATACAGCAACTATATATGAATCAACTTACATATTAAGAAGATAAATCTCCATTATCTTCAAGTTGCTCCTAAACATACATTATTTGAGCCTGTCTAAAGATCTGTATATTGTTCATCGTTTCATCCAATTTTGTACGACTTCTGAAATAAATATGAACATGGCATACGTGTTTGCTGTTTATATATATTTGTATAGCTATTATATTTGTAGTGACTTACATATTCAAACAATCATTCTCGATCCGCTTCTCAACCGACTAATTTAAGAGATTTAAGAAGTGAGGTTATGTCGAACACATGGATATGTTAATGTCTTAATTTAGTAAAATAATTATTTTAACCTTGATAAACGATCCTTATTATTGTCCTCAGATTTTGTAAGATATGCTATTTGGTTACCTCCTTTGTCATCTAAAGAAATCGACATAAAATAACGTTTCTTCATCCCAGGATATAATGCACTAAATGGAATTCAAAATCGTGAAGTAATTACATATCTATATAAATAATATATGATATACTTACGATGTCATTTTTCTACACTTTTCTACAATTATCATAAACAAGTTGCTTAACTAAACGAATGTAATTATTATACTAAAGAAAATATAACTTGATGCATGATAAATTCGTGACATATTGCGCCATTTTGTAAGCGGTTAGTTTAGCTTTCGTCAAAAGAACAGTCAAACCGCTTGAGTCGGTTCAGCCAGTGGCCACGGCGCGCTGATGTAAAGCTTTCTTTGTATGGTCACACACACCAGCACACAACGCACACAACGCAGCGCACGACGCGTTTGCTTCACGCCGTGTGACGTCATTGATTATGCTTTGCATGTGTGCTAACACACACCAGCGCACGACATGTATCTCACATGAAATTCAACGATGTCATTACCCCCGACAGCGCGTGTTTATGTCTCGTGAGACAACTCAATGCGAGCTTTGCGTGTATTGTAACACACACAAGCGCACGCAAGTTTAAAATCCTCTTGTGGCGTAGATTCGATAACCGCATTATAATAACGATGTCGATATTATAGAAGATCACATCGCGTGTTTACTGGGAAGCAGCAAAAAAATTAAACATTGATTTATAATTTTTTATAAAAGAAATACATAACACATTAAAAAGAACAAAAGAGAGTAAAACATACTTATACAGTTATAGTTAAAAGGTTCAGAGATAACTAAACCATAAAAATTGAAAATTAAAACATAAAATCTAAATTAACAATTTAAAGTGTTAAAACATTGCTAAAAATGTGGATATTCTAGAAAGTAAATTTATACTTACAATAATTGTATTAAAAAACCAGTTAAGAAAAACAATTTTAACACATCCCACATTTGCAACAATGGACATATCATTTTTGTTATATTTTGGAGTTCGAACCAAATCGTACCAAACAACAATACAATGTAATGCTACACCTTCTACAACTTCTACTATCTAAAAAACAATATTTATTAAATTATGAGAATAATAAAATAAATAAAATGATAAATGAACTAAATATAAATAACGAGATTTTTATATATACTTCAATGGTGTTGATAATAATTATTTTTGAAATACCGTTTTGTGAATGCTCTTCACATTTTTGTCTCGTAATCTTATATCTTTCAATTTTAATGTGATCTTCTTGTGTGATTTTTTGCTTACGATACCACTAGATATTCCAACAAGAGCAAAGTGTGCTAAATCTCTTCTGTCATTTGCTATATGCAAGAAACTTCTTCAATTTTGGCAAGAATTTTTATATCAGTGATTTCATTCTGCATATCCATTTGTTTTTTGAAATCGATAACTCTAGCTAAAACTATAAATCATAATGTGTAAATAACTTAATTCATTGATAAATTTATTACTAGACTATTATTTACGTGTTCCTGAAGATTTAGCAATTTTAGTAAAATTTTCTTCCTTGAAAAGTAGACTGACAACTTCTGCAAATGTTTTATTACTTTTTTTGTTAATGTTTCTTATATGTTCAATTTTTAGATCACTAAGTCTTTTCTGAAGTACCTGTGCTTCCTACAGTTGTTAAAAAATTAATGAAACATTATAAACAAATAATAAAAATTTAGGAACAAATGGAGTTTAAATTAAAACATATGGCGCCGTACCAATAAAATATTTTAGAATTTTGCTGATTGCCTTACTGATGATATTTTATTTATAACAAAATAAATACCTTATTTTTCCACTTACCGATAAGATTTCATTTATACTCTGTTGATTTAAAGTAATATCTAAAACATTAAAATCTAATTCAATCTTTTGTTTGACACTGGCAAATTCTGTTGCAAAAAAAGGTGATTCCAATTCAACCTATAAAAATATTTAAATTAAATATTAATTAGTTGTAAGTTGCATTTAGAAAAAATTTAAATGAATGAAACATAACTCATATCTTTCGAACAGATTTGAATTTTTAAAATCAGTTCAGGATTTATGGCTATATGAGTAAAAACAAATATGTTTGTATATTTACCTGTTTGTAGGAAATATTAAACAAGTTATCACGATCGTGAATAAATTTGACAGTTTTAATAGTTTTTATAATATCTACAGTTTCCGGGCTTCTGTAGTGTTGCAGTTCAATGCTTCCAAGACTGAAATTGCATAAATTATTATCATATTGAATTCAAAAACCTATTTACAGTAAAAAAATAGCAAAACATTGATTTTAAACATGCCTTAAGTCACAACTTAAATCGTAAGATTTTTGAACCATTATAAAATTCAAATGACGAACATTGAAGTGTATTAATTTCTGACAGTATTCTTGTGGATCCTTTTGTCTGCGAGACTTTAGGGTTACTTCCACAGTTTTGTATAAATTTATAGATAATTCTATAATAAAATAAATTTATTATATTCATTATCATAAGATATTATCATTTGACTTACCCCCAAATTTGAAATCTACATATAATGATACTAATTGCGCTGACATTGGATTTCCTTCGTCGACTTTTTGAGCATTTATTTCTTTCGAAATTAAATTTATTATTTTAGATGAAGAAGAAGCTGCTGTCATAGTAGATGCTTTAGAAGTAGTTGATTTTTTATCTGCCTGTATTAATGAAAAAAGAAATGAAATAAAAGTGCATAATTTGTCATTGATCACCAAAATAGTTAAACTAATAAATAAATAAATTGAATAGACTTCTGAATGATTCATATGATAAGAATTTTTTTTTTTCCAATTTGATTTTTCAACAGTTTGTATTCAAATGTTTTCTAATAATAGGAAACAGCAATAAACATAAATTTTGTTCAGAACAATATATAATATAACACTTTGATAAAAAAAAAAAGGATAATCAAACAAACCAACTTTATAAGATATTAAACGAAAATATTAGAAATCGAACTGTTTTGTTCAATTTAATGATACTAAACATATATGTTAATTTGATGGACTATTGATACATATCTCAAGTTATACTCACTAGATTGTTATTCGCTTGTGTTGTTTTTTGAAAACTTAAAGCTAAAGCAGCTGTTTCAACAATTCTAACATCACTGAAATTAATTTGAACTGAATCCAATACTCCAGATATCCTACAAATAACAAATACTTTTTAAACAAATTCAAATTCAAAATTATTCAAGTTATCATACTTCATTGATGGAAATCTTGGATCGTCTGATATGAGACATTTTTGTATGGTAATTTTTAATGAAATGGGATTAATTATATTCATATTATCATCCTTGGATGTTCCAACTCTATTAACCAACTCTTCACTTCTTAGAGCAAGAAGAATCTGAAATAAATTCATATTATACTGATTTAGTATTCATTCAGTTAAATCATCTATTTTGTGAATATTATATTTAAAAATATACCTGAACGTCTGTAATATTAGTAATAAAAGAATCATAAGATTGTAGAATCAAATTATTCAAAATTTCTTCCTCATCTAAACCTTCATCGTGCATTGTTTTAACTTCCACTCTAGGTGCTCTAGGTTCTGTTGTAATAATCAATTTACCCAAATCGATGATAAGTATTGATCTTGGACTAAAATTTTGAAGAAAATTAATTCTAGTGTTTGATAATTATTTTTTTGATTTGATTAAAATTTACTTCACATTGCATCCAGCATAAGGTATGACAATATAAGGTGCCAGTACGTTAATTCTACAATCAAGGAAAGTTTTGGTGGTAAGGGCGTATTGTAGACCCAAAGCAGACATTTCTTTAACATTCATTTTTGTTGTTTTATTTAGATCAGCCCTAAAAGTACACAATTACAACTATAGGTATTTAATTTTGCTCAATTATTTATATACTTACAAAGCATTAAAAACTTGATCTTCTGTTACTATTGTGAAAACATCTATAATGCTTTGAATAGTGACATCATCATACATAATTTGTAAAGGATTAGCGAGCACGACTAATCTTTCATCGCATTTTTTATCCAAAGGTACCATTTCGTATAAGATTTCAAAAAGCATAGGAAAACGTCCTTTAGGTTCAATTAGAACTGGAAGATACTTATCTTGCTTTTTCCCGAACATTGCCATATCTCTGATTGTGAACTCTATCCTAAAAAAGGTAATAATCATGAGATAAAAAGCATTTGACTTATATTGATGTTGTCAAGCATATTTCTCTAGTTTTTGTATGTGTGTATATTCTTATGATTTGTTGAAATAAATACCAATAATTTTAATTCACCTTAATCCAGAAAATTTTGAACGATTACCAACATGCAGACGACATGACTTGATAAAAAACTCACTGATGTGTTCGTTGTTTTCATTGAAAATCTTTAATGATAAAAATATTGTTAAAACCTAATATGCCATTCAAATAATGATAAATTAATACATATGAAATTATTTTCATGGAATGTTTGAAAATCAATAATAGCTTTAACTTGCCACTATTCGCATTGTGCTCAGCAAAAATGTAAGAACATAGTCATAATATGTTTCAGGATAAGGTGATGGTATTTCATCTTTATCCAATCCAATGGCTGCATATAACTTCATCTTTTCATTAGCATTTAATGCTCTATAAAATTGTTCCTCTATAAAAATAGAATTCCATTAAAAGCATATTATTTGAATATATTTTTCATGGCATTCAAAGTTTTACTTATGTTTCCAGATGAATCCAAATCGGTATCACTACCAGACCACCAACGCGATAACCATGATTTATTTTTGGCTGAGTCTTGTTTTTGCTTTTCTTCTAATTCTAGCTGTATATACATAAAACATAAGCAAATGTATATTTGATCTTTATACAATTTAATACTAGATCAAATCAAATCAATTTTAATACCTCAAAATAAACTTGTTTTCGTATAAGAAGTATATTTGCAGTATCCAAATAATCCTCACAAAATTCTATTTGTCCTTTTATATCTTCTGTAATGCGCCCTTTTCGTTTGACTTTTTCTTTAAAAGCTTTGCTATACAACCTTAAATAAAATATAAAAAAATCTCAAGTAAATAAAACATAAAAAGATTATATTCACCTTATTAATTAAATATGCTGAACTTGTTGATAAGTTTACATTGGTATGCTTATGAATCAGTTGATTGAATATCTTCAATCGGGTTTCTGCACGGATAATGTTGTATATATTCAATTTATTACAATTGGCTTATAGTGAATTATTGAATAATTATAAATAAAATATTTCAACATACTTATACACCATTCTGTGTCCTTTTATATGATTCCAATCCCAATTTTTTCTCACTCGTCGAATTTGTTCATTGACAATGCACTCATAAGCAAATTGCCACCATTCCTTTGCATGACCGGAATATATATCAAGGAATGGCCTGTATTTTCTGTATGGCAAACCTTCAAAATAATTCAATTAACATTAACTTATTACATAATTATAAGCTTTCATATTTTCTCATAAATTTACCTTTATTCATTCTGTCCATGGAGTCATTCAGAAGAATCAAGCATTGAAATTGTTTTTTTGAAATTTTGATATCTAAGCGCTGCATGTCCATATTTATTTTAACTACTGGAATGCTATAAGGTGGATCATCGTTTTTGGGTTTTTGACTTGCACTTAATTTTGATAAAAGGAACAAAGGACCAAAAACTATGAATAAAATTCAGAATGTGATTGGGTGTATCATGTGATTAAATTAAATAATATTGTAACTACCAATTTTTTTTTTCAAAGATTATACGGCCTTATTATTAATTTTTCTTTACCATAATCAAAATTATCAGGAAAAAATCCTCGTTTGGCTACATTATGTTCCAAAAATTTAGTTTTTTCTTCATCAGTAATCTGTGCTATACGTGCGGGTGTGCAATTCCAATACAATCCTAGACATTCTAAATCCATTACCTAATTTTTTAGCAAAAACAATAAAAGATTTCTATAAATACATAGTAAATATAAATTACTTAATTACTTAGTTGAAAAGGATATGACAAATAATTTTTCAAAGCAAAAGAAATATATAGTAACATAATGAAAATTAATTCTATAAAATATAAAGTGTCTTCAGTCTTTTTCATAAATCTAGTCTATCATAAAATCGAATTTTATCTTTTTGTATCTATTAATATATTTATGTATTAGGTCGATTTGTTACAAAAGTCGTTCTTTTTTAAACACATTACCTTAAATATTTGCCAAGTAGGTTTATTTTCAACTCCTTCAGCAGTATTAAACACCAATGTGTCCATTGTTAAACCCAAAGCAAAAGGGTGCCCAGGATTAGTTACTTTATCCTCATATCTTATGTGAATAGTGCTAATCTTAACTTGCATATTTTTAATAATTTGTGTAACCATTTTATCGGTGAATGTATCTTCCATCGTCTGAGGCGCTCCTAAAATAATAATATTTTTTAACAAAATTATTTGAACTAAAGTTATAATTATTACCTAATTCTCTTATTTTGCGATTGTTCTCAAATTCTTCTAAAATTTTTTGTTTTTCTTCTTTCATCTTTTTATTTTCAGCATCTGCATTATATATCACCTGTTGACAGGATTTTTGGACTATTGTTGTTGTAAATGAATAGATTATTTTACAAAATACAAAACCTCCAAGTTAGGCTCTGCCAAAAGAAACAACCTCTCGACTAATACAACAACAGGATCTTGATATAAGTTTTTCCATGGGATTTTCAAAATTAATTTGCCTTGCGAATTTTTATTAATTATTAATTAAATATTGCATATTATTGTATATATCATAATTTTTTATTTATATTGACTACTTACCCAGTAAACCATACACTGTTTGAATAGGTAATTCTAAATCGTTGAGAGCAGTGTTTTTTAACTTCAAATTTGTGAATACAGCATCACCTGAAGCATTTTTTCAGTAGTATTTTTTTATTTCATGGATAAGCATTTTGTTAAAGAAATATATCAATCACCTCCCCAGATTCCCAAATGTAATTGTGATGTATCAAGGTCCTCTATATAATCACTTAAAATCCTGTTTAAAACTTCTACAACGATTTTTTCGAAAACCATTTTTATAACTTATGTAAATTTAACTTAAAACTTATGCGAAATAATAATAATTAAATGTTAAAAATAATTCATAAAAAAATATCTAAAACAAAATATTGTCTAATTCATATTCAAACTATGATTTGCACATTATAACAGATAATTTTATTTTTAAACATTGTAAGTATATGAATATGAATTACTCCAATTAATTGAATAAAACTTTACTAGCATAATTAATCATTTATAGTTTCAAACTTATTGAAATCAAATTATTTAAATAAATAGAAATGCTATATGAACAAATAATGACGAGTTGTGATTCATTTATTTTGTCAAAATAAAACAGGAATTTTAATTTCTTGATTATACTTAAATTGGTTTTGATTTAGTGATTATTATAAATAATGAAATAAATTATATAAAATGCTTTGTAGTAAATATTTTTATAATGTTAAATTTTTTTCATCCATTGTCATTATGACATTTGTTTGCAAAGAGAGCTCTGTTAAAGAAATATTTACTAAAATCAGGTTTATATTTTGAAACTAAAGCTTCGTCGGCTATAAATCCTTGCATGATGATTTCTGTAGAGAGTTTGCATGAAGCATAATGAAGTTCAGCAGTGTCAACCATTTTTAAGACTTTGGGATCATAGTCGCTCAATGTCTTGAGACACCAGTTGAAGAAGATCTGTATTGAAGAATCATGCCTTTTACACAATAATTTCTTGCATGTTGTATGAAATATGTAATTATTGAATCAGAATCAATTAAAAGTCTATAATCATCAATATTCAAAAAAGTATGTCAACAAAATATGTATTAGTTTAACTATAAAATTCAATTCAAAACTTACTTTAAGTTATGTTTATGCAATCATTTGCAATCAGTTTTTCTTAACACAAGTGATTTGTTGGTTTTCTGTTATAGAAAACAGCAGTGACATTATGGCTTCTTATTAACAATAACTTTTACTGTATGCATACCTACTTTTAAATATTTTGTTTCTCTATTTCATCACAACTCAGAAAACACATCAATGTACACACAAAGAAGAAACAGTAGTTTTTACACAACACTAGAATACAAACTGAATAATAATAGAATATATTCAAATGTAGTTTAATCGATCTGTGACAAGTAACTGATGATTGTCAAACTGTTCGGAAGTTTGAACAAACTGCGTCAACGTCCAACGATACCAATGTAAACTAACGATACCAACATAACCTAAAAAAAAACTGGAAACAACCATAACTTTTAAAAACCACTGACTTTAGTGTTATAAATAATATCTTAGATAAAAGAAGAGTTTATAAATATTATCATAGATAGAAAAAGAATATTATTTTTTACTGTCAATAAAAACTCAGTAGCAATTTATTCAAAACAGAATTTGAAAATACAGTTTCTTTATATAATTATATAACGAATGCATTTATTAAAATCTAACTCATTACCATATTTTTATTTTCAGGTGAAAATCAGAATACAATAAGTTATATCCAAGATGTATTTCTTTATCAAATAAGTGCCATGAAATAAAGATAGAGGAATAAAAAAACAAACAGCACAGAATTATATACCAATTATATTGCTAATGAATGGATACTGAAAAAAATTATTTAAATATAATAATTGTAAAAAAAATGAATAAATGATTATTAAATTATTTATTTATTTATTTATTTATTTATTTATACGCCAATCGGCTTTATACAGTTTTATAATATTGTTTGCTAATTCATAACTTGTATATTTATATCTATATACATATACACACACATATATACATACATATATATATATATATATATATATATATATACATATATACACATACATATACACATACATACACATCTACTTACATACAGATATACATACACATAATACGCATACATATACACACATTCACATATATAAGTACATAAATACATACACATACATACACGTAGACTTTATAAAAAAAACTATGATAATTAAGTAACATAAAATAATACTTTGGTTAAGTAATATGACTTTGGTGAAATAATTAATTGCACAAAATATTGTGGTGTTTAAGTTTTTTCTTTATGTTAGCCTCAAAACTTTGTTGACGCATATCGAAAAAGTTCAAACTGCCGCAATACTCATTGACTTCTTTGGCTAAAAATTATAGATTATAAAATAGTGTATATATATATATATATATATATTATATACACTTCAAATGATGATAGTATTTATGTAAATCTTATGATATGAAATAAAAATAAAAGAAATTAATCTTTTTAAACTTTTTTCTGAAGCTTACTGTAACATTTAGTTCAACATTTGACTATAGTTACCTCTTATGATATTTCTCCTGATTTAAGTAAATTATTTTCAAATATTAGAATATGATTTATTTGCATTTGCAGTGTGTAGCCTTCATCATCCTTATAGCAAAATTATATTGTCGAGTGTAAATAGATCTATTCGAGGCTCGAGTAATCCAAATATCTGCACAAATACTCAACTAAAACCTGAATAATAATAATAAATTAATTATAAATTCTGTGTAGTTCTTAATTAATAATTATTATAAATATAAATATAAATAAATAGGAAAAAAACATTTTTGACACTTAAATTATATTAAATGTTAAGATTGAAAATAAATAGTAGGTACATGGTACGAGACAATCGCATCTCAATGATTCTCTTACCTTTTTCCCATTTTTATACACTCTTATGAACTATTCTTTCCAAATTTCCGTTTCCTTGCTTTGACTTTCAGTTTCCTGTATTTTCTATTATCACATCAATCATCTGCATTCCCAATCCTTTCTGTCTTTCTATTTTCAGTCCTTCGTGTAGGAGGCACTCGTTTTGCAGAATGGGCCCAAACTAGTTTCCTTTCTTCTTGAGGATCGAGCTCAGTAGAATTCTTTCTTTGTCTAGAGTCGACCTTATAATATAAGTACACTATCTAGCCTATCGTGCCATGATCACCTCGTCAGAAACTTGAACAAATGAATGATGTGCCAGTTAATTTGGGGGGCGTCCATTAATAACATGAGGTTTTTAGGTAAAAGGGGGGGGGGGTATATTAAGATTACATGTGTATTAATTTTTTGCCTGAATTAAAAAAAATCCAAACATTTTCAAAAAAAAAAAGAAAAAAGTTTACATTTTTGCTCATAGCTAAAAATACATGTAATGCTTTGTGGGGGCAGGGAGGGTAATTTTGAATATCACTATGTATCACTAAGGTGAGGAGATGTGTACCCAAAATACTTAAAAAATCGATCACGTGATTAATGGACGCCCCTTGAATGTTTATCTATCTCTTGTCCAATCGTAGGGACTTGCAGATCTTGGTGCAACAGCTAATTTGGTACATATTAGCATGCGCTTCAACTTGCTTTAAAATGAACCTTTGCTGTATCACTATATTTGACCCATAATTTTAACCGATGGTGCAGATAGCCTCGATTAGTTGTTGAGACTTGTGACCCAACCGATTTGCCAGTACAACTGTCTGCGAGAACTGAAAGAATAGCAAAGAATTTGTGTTTATAGATTCATCAGTGTAATAATATATAAAAATATATGTTTAGAACACAATAAGTTGATAATTTGTTTCATATTTTGCTTAGGAATGCTTGTACAGCCAGATAACCTCACAAACAACACTAGAACTTGTGGAAGCCCATTTTTAGCAACAAATTGTTTTATTTTGAAATTTTTTACGTTATTCATTACATGAAAATATAAACTTTATTTAGAACTTACATACGTGCAGCAAAATGCAAAAAAGCACTTTTGGCAAAAGTGTAATTTTGACAATTGTGCCATTTTGGGGTTAGGTTTTTAAAAAATGTAAAAATTGTAATCACTTACCAAAAATTTAATTTTATGACAATTTGTGACTACCAACTCATACAACAATAATAAAATAACATAACATTTCTTTTGTTACCCAAAATTGGCTCCTTAATCCATTAATCCCCATGATTAATCCGTTACACTGGACCATGTAATTTTTAATTTCTGGACAAATAGTGGTTACTGAGTAATGTTTTTAGTTATTATTAGCATATTTATCGTGGCAAAAATAGCTTTTCACCAATATAGTTTGATTTAAATTGAAATTTCAAGCCGGGGTTAGGTTTTCTTTCAGGGGTATTTTTTTACAACATCCGGGTCCGCATTCTTGGATCCGCGAGTATATAAGGAGGGCGCTAATTAACAAAGGGTTCATTAGCGGATTGGATTCCGAACAGTAAACAGTGAAGTGAAAAGTGAAGTGAAAAGTAAAGTAAAAAGTGAAATAAGTTGTGAAGTGAAGTGAAGAAAGTGTATTTTAAAGTGAATCAGTATCAACAAAGTGTGTTTCAGTGTGCAGCAGAAAAAGTAAAAGGTTTATTTTTCAAAAATAGTAAGTATAATGATTAAATAAATAAAGAAATGCAGTTAACATTTTTAAGCTTAATGGCTTAAAGTTAATGATATAATTACTTATTAATATAATAATTATTTACTTAAGTAAATAATAATTTAATATACTCATTTTTTTAATGATTTTTAAATTGAGTTCATCACCCATCAAATAAAATTGCAGCCCCATACAATGACCAAGGAAAAAAAACTACATTAACTGTTTGAGACTAATATATATATATTAACTAATGTATATTGACGAGGTATAATTGATAATTGACTAATGCTATATTATATTAGTCTCAAACAGTTTATGTAGTTTTATTTCCTTGGTCATTGTTTGGGGCTGCAATTTTATTTGATGGGTGATGAACTTAATTATATATTAATATATATATATATATATATATATATATATATATATATATATATATACTGTTCTTCAACCAGTCTACAAACAACACACTATCTAATTGTGATTTTTTAAATTAGTATTTTGTGAAACTATTGTGTAATTACAAGTTTAACGTTTATAATACATAGTGTAGGGCATTACCATATCTTGATACCATGGTTTATTAAAATTTTTCAATTTAACACTAAGATTAATTAATTGTAAGTACTAATTACTATTTTATTTTTTTTTCATTCCAATTCAATTGTTTTAGTTTTTATTTTTTTTTTTTAGTTTCCGCTGAATGAAGGCTAGGATTATAGCCGAAACGTATGGATTTAAAATAAATTTTTGAAAGAAATTCATGTTTTATTGATGTTATGCCCGATTACTAGACTTTGTTAATATATATATATATATATATATATATATATATATATATATATATATATATATTGAAATGATCCTTAATATGGTCATTTTCGAATTTTCTTGCTCTTAGTGGCTCAAATGATTCCAATTTGATAAAAAAAAATCGGTGAAAGTTTTAGCTTTTAATATTAACTTTTAGAGGATTTTTTATCAATTTGGAAGCATTTGCATCAAGGAGCAAGGAAACTCAAAAATGTCCATATTAAGGACCACCCACCGCACTCCAACATGTTTTAACATGGTGTATAATTTAATAATTAAATTTTTTTCAGGTTATAATATCGTTATTACTACATGAGCCTACACGTTCCAGCTTGGATAAAAAGCAGTCGACAAATTATGCTTGGAATGGAAGAACATACTACAAAGGTAAGATTTTTTTAAATTTTTAACACGTAGTATATATATATAGCAAAAATATAATGGTCAAACAATCAACAAAATTAATTAGGTAAGGCACTTGAGAGTGCAAATGTATGATTTTCATGTCTTAGAGATAATACCTAGTATATAATCATATGACGGAAATATAATATTGACCATGCAATATACAAAATGCATACAAAATAGGCGTATATAAAAATAAATACGCCAAGCACTCTCGAGTGCACCTGTAGGGATTTTCAGGTCTTGGGGATAATACTTAGTATTTAACTGAAATAAATATTGGCCATGCAATATGCAATATGCAATATGCAATATACAACATACATACGAAACAAACATTTCCAAAAAAATTAAGTAAGGCACTCTAGAGTACACCTGTAGGGATTTTCAAGTTTTGGGGATAATAGCTAATATTTAACTGAAATATAACAAAGGCCATGCAATATACAATATGCAATAAATATACAACATACATACGAAACAAACATTTCCAAAAAAAATAAGTAAGGCACTCTAGAGTGCACCTGTAGGGATTTTTAGATTTTGGGGATAATAGCTAGTATATAACTGAAATATAACAAGGGCCATGCAATATGCAATATACAATATACATATTAAACAAACATTTCCAAAAAAAATTATGTAAGGCACTCTGGAGTGCACCTGTAGGGATTTTCAGGTCTTGCGGATAATAGCTAGTATATAACTGAAATCTTACAATGGCCATGCAATATGCAATATACAACATACATACGAAACAAACATTTCCAAAAAATAGCTAGTATATAACTGAAATATAATAATGGCCATGCAATATGCAATATACAACATACATATAAAACAAACATTTCCAAAAAAATTATATAAGGCACTCTAGAGTGCACCTGTAGGGATTTTCAGGTCTGGGGATAATAGCTAGTATATAACGAAAATATAACAATGGCCATGCAATATGCAATATGCAATATACAATATACAACATACATACGAAACAAACATTTCCAAAAAAAATTAAGTAAGGTACTCTAGAGTGCACCTGTAGGGATTTTCAGGTCTTAGTAGTGTTCTTTCCTACATGCGGTAAATAACTTTATATTTGTATTTATTTTTATCTTTGTATTTCATTTCAATTTCAAAAGTAATATTCATTAACTTCTCATTCAATTTCAAAATTTAATTTCCTTCTATAAACAGTATTGCCAAGCAAGTTTTCAATTCTTCAATGTTGTCCCTTAACATTCCGCATTCTTTGTTGCGTTGAATAATTATTCCGCAATCTAAGTTGTGTGAATGGGGAAGGTGAGATCGGGACCCTGGCGCTAAGTTTTGCTTACCTAATCTCGAACCCTCCCTGGATCATATGGGACCCTGGCGCTAAGTTTTGCTTACCTAATCCTGATCCCTACTGCGAAGGGTTGAAAGCAAGTTTGGCAATTCTGTCCTTTTCAATCATGAGTTTCAATATCCTACTTATTTTTTTTTTTACTTATAACGGTTTATTTCGGTGAATGTACACATTTCTCAGTAAATGTCACACTTACCATTTTGTTTTGGTAAATACTTTTAAATTCTTTTAAATTTTAAATATAAATAATAAATAATGAACGAAGAGTAATAAATTTCAATATTCAATTATCGATTTTCAATTTTCAATTTTCATTTTCAATTTTCAATATTCAGCAGTTCTTAGCTGTCTTTTCTTAGTCGGCAGTTCTCTTAACTGTCTATTCTTAGTTGGCAGTTCTCTTAACTGTCTATTCTTAGTTGGCAGTTCTCTTAACTGTCTATTCTTAGTTGGCAGTTCTCTTAACTGTCTATTCTTAGTTGGCAGTTCTCTTAACTGTCTATTCTTAGTTGTAAGTTATTATTCGGCAGTTCTTAGCTGTCTATTCTTAGTTGTAAGTTCTTAGTCGGCAGTTCTTAGCTGTCTATTCTTAGTTGTAAGTTATTAGTCGGCAGTTCTTAGCTGTCTATTCTTAGTTGTAAGTTCTTAGTCGGCAGTTCTTAGCTGTCTTTTCTTAGTCGGCAGTTCTTAGCTGTCAGTTTGTAGTTGTAAGTTCTTAGTTTTAAGTTCTTAGTTTTAAGTTCTTAGTTTTAAGTTCTTAGTGATAAGTCAATAGTTAATAGTCCTTCATTATAGTTTTTTTTAGTTGCAATATCTGTTAGAACTGCTGAATAAAATAAATAGTTATGATCAATAGTTCAACTCACATTTGTCAAATGAGCCGGTAAATGTAAACATTTACCGAGAAGTGTGTACATTCACCAAAATATGCATATTTATCGTAACATACATACCAAACAAACATATTCAAAACTAATTATGTAAATTTAAATGTTCAGTTATTAGCCGCTGTGAACACAACACTATTTTTTGAGCACTTTCGAGTGCACCTGTAGGGATTTTCAGGTCTTGGGGATAATACCTAGTATATAACTAAAATATAACAATGGCCATACAATATGCAATATACAACATACATACTAAACAAAACATTTCCAAAAAAATTAAGGCACTCTAGAGTGCACCTGTAGAGATTTTCAGGTCTTGGGTATAATAGCTAGTATATAACTGAAATATAACAATGGCCATGCAATATGCAATATGCAATATACAACATACATACGAAACAAACATTTCCAAAAAAATTAAGTAAGGCACTCTAGAGTGCACCTGTAGGGATTTTCAGGTCTTGGGGATAATAGCTAGTATATAACTGAAATATAACAATGGCCATGCAATATGCAATATGCAATATACAACATACATACGAAACAAACATTTCCAAAAAATTAAGTAAGGCACTCTAGAGTGCACCTGTAGGGATTTTCAGGTCTTGGGTATAATAGCTAGTATATAACTGAAATATAACAATGACCATGCAATATGCAATATGCAATATACAACATACATACGAAACAAACATTTCCAAAAAAATTAAGTAATGCACTCTAGAGTGCACCTGTAGGGATTTTCAGGTCTTACTATATAAGTATAGAATTGAAATATAATAATAATGAATATGCAATATGCAAATTCGTGCAAAATAAGCGTATAATTAGTAAGGCACCCCTGAGTGCAAATGTACGGATATTCAAGTCTTAGGGAAAACATCTAGTGTATAAGTACTGAACGGAAATATTATAATAATGAAATGTATAAAATGCATACCTAACAAGCGTATACGAAAATAATTAAGTAAGTACAAACGCACTGATATTTTTGGTCTTAAAGATAACAGCTAGTATATAAGTATAGAACTGAAATATAATAATAATAAATATGCAATATAACTGTATAAACTAACAAAATAAGCATATATAAAAATAATAAAGCGATGCACTCTCGAGTGCTAATGTACGGATATTCAGGTTTTAGGCTTAACACCTAGTGTATAAGTATATAACTGAAATAT